AACATCTCGAGTGACAGTTCAGTGTCGGGATAGAGAACCGCTTGCATGACAACCATATTGCTTAAGATGACCAGAAGAGCCATTCGCATGTAGTTCACAAAGTCTACGGTTATCATCAGTTTTAATCGATGCAATAACGGCCCTAATGTGGGAGATATCGGCAAATAAATGCCAATTAGTCTGTAATAGAAATAAAGTACTCCAACAGAAAGAGTGAGTTTCTGTTTGTACGGAGAGATCACAGGTATGCCAAAGACTCGAGTGATTGAAAACAATATTATGAACACAATTATTGACGTTATTTCAATACATTTGAGAAATACTGGAACCGCTGTATACTTCTTGATGATAATATAAGTGCGGCGAATGTAATCCATGCATAAGACTGTCGTCCAAATGCATACTAATAGATCCAGTTTCCAAAGACCACATCCCGGATATATGACTGATAGTGATAATAGCGGCAGATATAGGAAATAGAAGAACTGCGAGACATAAAACTTGGTGATCGGCGCCGAGAAAAACATAGCCAGCATCTGATGCAATGGCGGAGGTCTGGCCACAAACATATGACCGCGGATTGAGTTATTGAAACGATTTTTACTCTGATTTATGATATTATCGTAACTGTTGGCCACTGACTTAGCCAATGATGGGTTCATATACCCGACCTTCACCTGATCTGTCGTGTCATCGGTAATCACAGAGGATTCTGTGTTATCTTCTCGATAAATATCATCGTAACCGTCTTCGAACTCGTCATCAGTGGTCACATTATCTTGTATTTCAATTTCATTACTCTTAAAGCGAACCCAAATGAAGAGCGGAAACACGAGGAATGCACACAAAAGTATTTTAATGGCGGCTGGGATCGGAAACATACCCCAATTTATCTCCCGGAGCCTAATATTGCCGAGGAATGTGTTGGTCAAGAACTTCTGACAACAGGGATGAGCCAAGAATTGTCTCAACTGAGCGTTGGCTGCGATATCAACGGCAGTCTTGTAATTCCAGTCCTGTATGGACTGATTGAGTACATTATTGGCCCGAAAGATATCCTCGTTATAGCAGATATCGAGGACTCCGTTCGCAAAGTCGGCGAATACTTTGGATTTTTGTTTCAGATCTGACTTCATGTTGTTGTCGATGGCATACCAGGACAGCCGGTCAAACATCATGGATATGACGAGAGCCAAGTGGACGGGTTGGTCCGAGTGCTTCCAGAATACTTTGGCCAACTTATCCCTGTTATGCATAACCGCCCAAATTGTCAGTATATTGAGTGCCTTTCTTTCCGCCGACAAAGCGTTACTTTGGTATAGACCTAGATTAATATTATACAATTAAATGCATTAACTACTTAAATAAATATAAGAATAATTACAGAGGTTTAAATCTACGGCAGAATGATTGTTATAAAAAAGAAAAGTATCAGGATAGTTGAAATAAGAATTTAATTAAATTTTTATTACTATTTGAAGTAAAAAGTGATAAAAAATGGTTACTTACCCATCACGTTGAGATGGAGGTGCTCTGTATTGACAAAGTTTTGAAAACCGGTGATAATCTCTATCAACCAGTTTAGGTCGTTGTCAATGAAATATTTGGGTTGTTTGAGGCACGAGGGTCGGCCCAAAATGCTTTCCCAACAGTGGGTTCTGAAGAAATCGTTGTCGTGAATGAGTCGAAAGAGTCGGTTGAGTCTGGAGGGCGACACAAATTTGTGTAATTGAAAGCCAAGTGAGAGAAATAGTTCAATAAAATCTTCGCGATTTGGGTGAATGAGTGCCGACTCAAACAAATTCTTGT